GATACACAGTATATACCGATCTGCTGCGTAATATAATAAACAAATTGGAAAAATCGCCATTGATAACCTATGTATATGTATATGGACACAACACCCACGCGTATACGGATCCAATGAATAATAGATTATAGAAATATATAAAAGCATCAGTCGCGAGCTGCAGTACCATACATATATATACCTAACGATTTGCATGTATATAGATACGGCATACGAAGTGTATACATATATATAATATAGCGGGTACGCAGAGGAGTTTTAATCTGCATAAAATGCGCCCGGGCTTACGTATGTATATATACATATATCCTCTATTTTAAATTCAAATGCAATTCCGTTCGCCGAACTCTAAATGCGCTACTTTTCAAATTTCATTATATGCTCTCTCTCTCTCTCTCTCTCTCTCTTACTCGCTTTACCACCCCGCGTCATCCGTTTACTCTCTCTCTCTCTCTTGCTCTCTCTTTATCCGCGCCACTGTATGTACCTATAACGGGTATATAATACGGTAGCTGACACCGTGCAGCTGCGCCAGGGGCCCCTGGAGCTGATATTTAGCTTCCCTCGAACTCACCGGCGGAAAATTTCACAACTCTCCCCCGCGTGTATATATATAGGTACCCAGCCCCCACTTGCCCCAGAGAGCGGCGCGCACTTTTCATTTTCACTCAAAGCCCCGCCGGGGCTCGTATATCTACCTCTGCTGTGGGATATATACCTAAACTGCGATCGCAAACTTGCAAAGGGTGTGGCGCCGCTGCGTGTGCGTGGGGGGGGGGGGTAGCAGTTATTTTTCAAAATGCGTTTTCAACGATATACCGCGGTGGCAATGATGATGTATATTTATACCAGCTGCTTCTTTCTCACGCTTTCGTTTCTCTTGCGTAGGTGTGTGTATATATACATATATGGCTCTTGGGCTTTTCTTCCAAAGGGGATGTATACACATAGTGTATATATATATATATATATATATATATATATATGGAAGCTGAAGGGTTCGAGCGGGATAAGAAGGAGGAGAGGAGGAAGTTTTCTCGTGAAATTCGTGCCCACGAGGCGTTTCACGGAGATTAGAACAGGTATATAGACGCGAGAGGGTGGCCGAGGGAGGAAGGGGATTTTTCCGAGTGCGGACTATATTATACGTTATATACTCCATAGATTAATATACATTTACATCGGGGTACTGCGTGTACACATGTATGGCATATGCGTGGTTTTTGCCGAGAATCCCCCCGTGCGTTATCTGTTTATCTGTGCCCGAGCACTCCGACGCTATTCTATACACGAAATTAATACATTTTTTTATTTGTTACATGCAATTAAATTTAGCGTTGATTTTTCTTTGTTTTGTTTTCAATTAATGATTTGTGCGTGTATTATTTTTTTTAAATCGATATAGACTTACAAGCACGGAAAATACCCGAGTGTGGGATCATGCATAGACCGAGAGTCGGAAAATAACTTTCTCGGTTCGACAACGAGCATTGATTTGAGTACAAGTATACTACACACATTCGATAAACGGTCGAGCGCATTGAATTGATAATATTTAGGAAAAGCTACGGCTGCAATATCACCGTTCACTAATTACCTTGGGTATACTTAACGAGTAGGTATCGCGTATCGGAAGGTTATAAATCGTCGAGTGAAAAACCGATTTTTCGTGCCAGATGCACACACGCGCGCGCACTATGATGCAGTGCTAACAAAATAATAACAAGCTCAATTATTTGTACGACACGCAGACCCGGAAAAGCTCGAAAACTTCGTCCTCCTTATACCTATCTTCTCCGTCTTCTGATGGAAAAAAAAGAGAGAGAGAGAAAGACGGATGGGAAAACCGGCTCCTCCAGTTTTCTTCGCAGTATACTTGTACCATTGCTATATAACGGCTTCGAGTATATACATAGGCGCCTCTCATCTCTTTGCAGGAATTTTTCAAGGATACTATACTACGTTATAGCCCGTGACGCTTGAACGCGTTGACTTGTACATATATAAACCAACTGTGTCTATCCGTCGTTGTCGTCTTTTGGAATTCGTCTCCGAGAGATATGACGCTCTCCGTTTTTCTCTCGGCCCTATGTTTATGCGCCAAGGCAAAAATAAAAAGAAGACTCTTTTACGATACGACCGGCCTCCTCTTTATACCTCGTATAGGTAGGTGTACACCACCATAACTCTTATCTAGCCCAAACACCTTTAAAAAGAGCCAATTTCTCGGTCTTTTCTCGTTTCGTAAATAATTTACGGCCTCGAGGCTTTCGCGCGGACTGGATATTTATTACTTCGGCCGTCACGCATGAGTTTTGAAATTTGGTGGATGCAATTGAGAAAGTTGGCACGTTTGCTAAAGTGAATTTTAGACAGATTTCTCGGATCGGATTAAATTGAGTTTATGAATCTTCTCATGTGTTTTTGTAGACGTTACTTGAGCCATCGCGGATTACATCACTCACAGAACATGAAAAAAAAAAAAAAAAACAATATCCGATAGTTTGAAGGTATTCATTGACAAAAAAGTGAACGCGTGGGTCCGTGCACTGATTGACCCACCCTAAATATAAATAATTCCCAAAGAAAAATCATCAGTCAACGGATGACCGGGGGTTTGTCGCTTTTGGGTATTATATACCACGTGTGGAGGTCACCAACTGAATCATCATCCCGCGACTCCACTGGTATAAATTTGAAGCGATCCCGAAGCATTATTGCTCTCCGTTATCTATACAGACCCCGAGACCACATTTAACACCCCGAGGTACACACATATATATATATATATCTTATATGCATGTATATATGGTTTGCTTGCAAATTTTTAGTGNAAATAAGAATATATATATATATATATATATATACGTGATACACTTGAGCCGCGTCTGGCCGAAATAAAAGGTACGGGTTGTTAAGGATGAGGTCCCGTGGGCACTGTTGTTTTCACCAGCCATTCCGAGTACAATGGCTCCGAATCTATATAAATGTATACGCAATCCCAGGAGTGGCCGAAAAATTATTGGAGAGTCGTTACGTACACGCCACGTATCCGATAATCTCCTAGGTTGTAATTTATATCGAATATTTACTCGTATAGTGGGGTTTATTGTACTGTCCCCGCGTGAATCTCTATTTATATATTTATTTTAACGTATCTCTCTTTTGGAACGAAAAAATCGATCGGCCATCGGCATGAAAAAACGGCCGTACATCGCGGGGGTCGACCGAGCCATCGATGACTCTTCTTCCACCTCCGCAGCTTCGCATTAGCATAACTCGAATCCTTCGAGTATACATACAAAAAGGCATCCTCGTACCGAACAAAGGACGATACAAACTTTAATTTAACCGTCAATTAAACAAAATCGGCCTTTTCCGGCTCGAAAAATTCTTCCCACGCGAAAAGTATAGACGCCCCGGCTAATAAACTCCCATCACCATCCTCGTTCCCCAAGTCTCTCTAGATTAAGGCCTTGCTCGCGCCTTACCCTAATTATTACTACGCATATAATAAGCACCTATATACACTGCAGTATTACATACGTAGAGAGACACTCATCCATCTTAGTCTTTCGCCCCCTCCTTTGCTCTATCGTCACCATATACACTCATACCATATGAATTCTTCAATCTAATGCGACTCGACTCGTCATTTAGGACAATCACAATTATTATCGAGTATACATTGACCACTTTGACATTGTTCGTTTAACTTACGTATACTCACGTTTTCCCTCTTGCTTAAGTAATAAAAAAACAAAAAACTTTTACATCCGAACGAGTATATATTATAATATACAAGGGTGGTGTGTAAGTATACAAGTACACACACACATGTGACCGAGGAGGAGAAACTCTGGGAAACTGAATGAATAATGTATAATGTAACTATATACATATATACGTCAAGTTAACCGAAAGCCACTTTGTTATACAAGCAACAGGTAGTCGCAAGTATACACACGTACAAATTCAAACACGTGGTCGTAAAAACACATATAAGTACGTATACGCATTCGACTCTTTTTCCTTCCTTCCTCTCATGCACACTTTACGCGGTATATATATACGTATACAACTTGAAAACTTGTCTGTTGGCATACATTACACCTTTTCCCGATCTCTCTTCTCTATATGTATAGTACATAATCATCTCCGTCTGTATAAACCTATACATACAGTATACTGCAGGAGGAAGGGGGAAAAAAAGTGAGGATGAGCGCGGATCAAGGGGCGGAAGAAAGAAGTACTCCAGAGACGGAAGAAGGGCTCACCCGGCATATATATATATANCCTTGGTGCCCTCAGACACGGCGTGCTTGGCTAATTCACCAGGCAGTAGAAGCCTCACAGCTGTCTGGATTTCCCGAGAAGTGATGGTAGACCTCTTGTTGTAATGGGCCAGGCGGGAAGCCTCAGCGGCGATACGCTCAAAGATGTCATTGACGAAACTGTTCATTATGCTCATCGCCTTTGAAGAGACACCAGTGTCGGGGTGAACTTGCTTTAACACCTTGTAAATGTAGATAGCGTAGCTCTCCTTCCTCTTCTTGTGCTTCTTCTTCTTGTCACCCTTGGTGATATTCTTAACTGCTTTTCCTGCCTTCTTTACGGCTTTGCCAGATGCTTTGGGTGGCATGATGGAGCGTAGAATGACTATACTACCGTCGGTAGATAGAAACTGAACGAGGTGACCATGTTTCGCCTCTCGTTTTATGAGCGTCCCATGGTTAACTCCGAAATTTATCCCCACTTTTTCAGAGCATCGAGGCAGCAACGCCTAGCCAACCATCTCTGACTCTCCCCTGCGCTGCGAGTAGCCCGAGCAGCTGCTGGTTCGCCGTAACTGTATCCAGTATTCTGAAGAAGTAGGGGTACATTTTGGAGTAGCAACTCGAAGGCCTATATAAAGGGGCTCTCCACTGCAAGCAAGACCATCAGTAGCGGCTTGCTGCGACTTTCGTAGCACGTGAGCACTTCATATCTATCTTACTAACATGTCGGGACGTGGCAAAGGTGGTGGCAAGGTGAAGGGAAAATCCAAGACTCGCTCGACTCGGGCTGGACTCCAGTTCCCCGTAGGACGTATCCACCGTCTTCTGCGTAAAGGCAACTACGCCGAACGAGTGGGTGCCGGTGCGCCTGTATACTTGGCCGCCGTCATGGAGTACTTGGCCGCTGAGGTTCTCGAGTTGGCTGGTAACGCAGCTCGTGACAATAAGAAGACCAGAATCATCCCCCGTCACCTTCAGTTAGCCATCCGCAATGACGAAGAATTAAACAAGCTGCTCTCCGGAGCATTAAATTATTATTATTATTATTATTTTTTACGTTTTTGTCGTCGAGCTCGTGTGAGCCTCATCGGCGACATTCCTGCACGAGTCCATTAAAAATTGTCTCGTCAGCTGAAAATCGTTTGCGTTTCTTTTCTCCCTACCCTCTACCCCCCCCCTCTTTTTCTGTCACAACCGTTTGATGGACAGGCCCTGTCGTCAGCGGATTTTTCAGAGTACGTGTATTGCACAGCAACAACAACAACAACAACAACAACAACAACAAAAGAAAAAAGCACTATTAATAATAAATAAATACCACATCGTTAAAAAGTCAGGCCATGGCATCAGCTGATACGTATATATTTTATAGGATCCTTTATTTGCTTTGAATGCCGGTGGCGAAAGAAAAATTCACACAAACTCACTTTTGATAATATACATTGAAAACTAAACACAAGGTAAAAAAAGTTATTAAACATAAAAAAATGAAAAGAGCGAAAACCAAGCAAGTCGGCTGTGGTTGGTGCAGCACGGTCGGGCGCGAAACTCAAACTATCTAAGCTCTAACGATTCAAACGGCTGTACGTATTGTGTACTCTGCCGACGACGACGATTTTCACGTGGAGAACCTCGAACGGCAACTGTACGGAAGAGAACGAGAGAGAAAAAGAAAGAGTGAGAGAGAGGCACCGTAGGGGGGGGGAAGCCTGGCTTCGTGCCGGTGGCCAATCAGCGACCATGTACGTTCGAAAAAAAGGAGTCACCGACGAGAGAGGCTCTCTTTGCTCCTTCTTTCTCTCTCTCTCTCTTCCACACCCACACATCAGCACGTCAGTATATATCTATACATTTTGTATTCACATCTTTGCACGTTCAAGTGTGCGGTTCTCTTTCTCTGTGTTGCATCTCTTTTCCGTGTACCTATAATATCTTACATGGGTTATTTTACGAAAATTGGCATACTTTAAAAGTTTAACTAGACAAAGACAAAAAATGGATTTATTATTTTTCGAACTTGTTTTTTCCCAAAAATTATTTAAAAAAAAGTTAATACTAATTACTTGTAAAAACCGATGGAGCAAAAAAAAAGAAAATAAATAAAAAGTTGTATTTAACTTCCAGATGTCACAAAAAATGAAAACTTCGGGGTAGGACACGAGCATGTAACGTCAACTTAGCTACTTTTTTCCATTTATAATGAAAGCAATGTAGCTTTTCAAAATCTAATTTTTGTACCAAGTTGGAAAGAAAGTAACTATTTTGATATTTGAAAAAATTTCTACGAATATCATACCAATGAACTAGGCCGTGGAAAATTGTGTTTTTTTATAAAATGACCCATATATATCCAGTAAACGTACAAAAGGTTCTCCCTTCGCTGCATGTGCGTGTATGTATAATACTTTCGCACTTTAGCGTACGCACGCACACACACGCGCGTTTTCTCGCCCCGAAATCCGAAACGCTGACGATGCGGTGTACAGTATTACACGTACCTACTTACACGCGCGCGCGTGCATTGAACCTCTCCATTAATTTCATTAGGTCTTTTATTCTCTGTTCTTCCTCCTCTCTCCTTCGTCTTCTTATTTATCGAAGGTGCACTCGAGCCGCGCGTGTGAAATGTCCCTTTTACGTGGACACCCACACCTAGTCGCTGTTGCACAAGAATCTGGTTTTTTTCACCTCTCATTTATATTTTTTCCCATTTTTTTTTTTCACATTTTCGGCGCCAGTGTACACGGGAACACAACTTTATTATTTTTTTTTTTTCTTTTAGATTTTATACTACACACCTGGCCTCTACCTCCCACGGGCTCATGATTTCTCGTTCGGAAGTGATGCTGTGCTCTCGCGCCGAGGAAATACTTCCAAACGAGTCGGGAGGTCGAGGCGCAACTTTGTGGGGATATCGTTGAAAGATTAGAGCAATGAAAAAATGTACAGGATATTTCTCTTCACAATCTTTAAGAAGAGCACATCAAGATGCTAGATTTGATGTGTTGATAAAAATGTAGCTTCTTGATGCAAACTACTCAACTACTACTGGAACCTATTTGACTAACCTATTTTCGCGAGTACAATCAATTTCAACACATGAATTACAATTTGCGTATATAAAGTTTAAACAATTTTTTAGAAATTCACAGAAATCGTACACGATACCTACTACATCACTTCGATACCTTGTAAGTGGAAGGAAGTATTACCTTAAAAATGCATCTCAATGCGAGCAAACCTGCCTCTCCGGTATCGATTCGTACGTGGGATGATCCGAAAAAATCATCATCGCCAATCGATGGTTCATACATTTTGGTATGCAGTACTTGAAACCCCCCGCGAAAAATAAAAAAGTCGCAGTACTAGTGAAAATTCAAATCAGAGCACTTTTAGCACATATAGCAAGCACAAAGCTCCTTTCACTTTTACACTCGTTTGTAACGCACAATAGTACACGAATACGTAATGCACCCTTCATACACATTAGCGCACTGCTCGCTCTCAACAACAAAAGTAATGGTACATACATTATATTATACATAGCTGAGGCGGCTTTATTCAGGTAAATTAAATGATGTATGATATATACGATGTGCATGTATGTGTATCAAGCCAGCTGGATAATAGTAGGCTTTGATAATACCGTCGGAATGCGATGATTATCGATGATTGCCAGGGTATAGACAGAAAAAAAAAAAAATATATTCCTTTGCATATTTATATGAACCACGGAGGGCACGGAGTCCGTATATATATATTATCTTGATAATATTGGGTATAACACTATATAATATATACATTGTATATGAAAGGCTGATCGGCTTTGACGTTTGCATACTAAGTTGCTCCCGCGCGTGTAATATAATGTATATTAGGTATACGAGAGATGCAGCAGCGAAGTGGATAAAGATTATGTGGACGTTAATGATTCAAGCGTCGTTTTTAGCAACAAGAGAGAAGAATATGTTAAAAAAAAAAAAAAATAGCTAATAACCAGGAGTCGATCGCTAAATGCTATTTAATGATACCGCGTGTTAAATGTATATAATGCAATCGTGCGGGTATATTATATGACAAAATGTCGAATAAAAGTAATAATCACAGGTCATGCCTATGGAGCACGTATACTATCGATTTGTTAAATGCCAGTAGGTATACCAAAAAAAAAAAAAAAAAAAAAAAAAAAAAAAAAAAAAAAATCAAGTCAAATAAGTTCTTTCGATTGTAATTCGCTCGAAAATGATAAATGCCGCAACAATTACGATTCTCCGGTCGCGCGAAAGGAGAGCAGCGCCCCATTGTCCAATTAGGAGCAAAGAAAAGAAATGAAAATTTGCATGAGGCGCGTAGGCGTAGTCAAGCATGTGTACGTACTGCCTGTACAGTGTGCAGAGTTGTTCCCGGTACTGCACAAATGAAATCTAATGCAGCCAATGTATGTATATTGTACACACGTCAGGAGACGCGATACTAAATACACACATGTCGGGGAATTAAGCCCCGCGTATGTAATTGTACAACAATGAAAGATCTTGTTCCTCTGCTTTTTATACACCGTGTGTACTGGACTCTGAGTAAAATAAACATTATAGTATTGTCGAAAAAAAAAAAAAAAAGAAAAAAAAGAAATCAACAAGTACCCGTTCCTGTGTTACCTTTTCGCAGTCATCGTCAGCTAAAATATGATGTTATCATCGCCAGGGCGTAAAAATGCGGCAACAGCTTATCGCGCGAGGAAGCCGGTCGAAACGTGGGAGTTGGCTCTGATTGCAAAATTCAGGAGGAGAAGGGAGAGAGGGTCGCCCGACTTGGCTTTAATTGTGCCCCTTCTCGCGAAAATGTCTCTCTTTTCCGCGTCGTAATGCCGTTTTTCACTCGGAGGGTGTATAATTACGCGTTGCTGTCGAGTGAAATGGAGATGGCCACGTTTCCGCGTGAGAGAGGGAGAGAGAGCGAGCTATTGCGCGAAACGAACGTATATAGAACAGCCCGGGATCTTCCGTGATTGTACGACGCGCTCCGTTGATGTGCCTATATATATATATATATATATATATATATATACACACGTGTATATGCAGGGCATGGGGGCGAACCGCGGGATGAATATTAATGAAAAGAGGCAGGTACGGGTGTGGGTTATCGGGGTGTTTGACTGTAATATGCCTGCAACAAAGCGTTTGAAAATTTGAGGGAAAACGACTCTTGTTTCGGCTTGTCAAGTTGGCGCAAAAGTAACATGAACGTGCGATTTTCGATATTTTAGCATTTTTTTAAGTTTCATGGAACAAGTGTAATTCAAATACTTTACGGATTAAGTACCGTCATTAGACAAAACGCTATATCCAAACAAACTGAGATAATGGAGTCTCGGATAAAAATTTATCACAATCACTTGGCCGTGACAAACTATGTGCCAATGTGTTTCCAATGATACAGCTACATTCAGATGTACCTAGTGTTGTAACTTAATTCAGAGGCATTTTTTTTTATCGGGTCTCATCGGTATAACTTGTAGGGTAAAAAATCGATAATTTTGATCCAATAGATACTCTTCAAATTATTGTCGATAAAAAATCAATGAAGAAGCCAACAACTCACCTGATGTACCAATTCATTGATTTTCAATCGATAATATCTAGGAAAGCACGCATTAGATGCTCATAGTTTATGTTTCTTTAATTTGATGAACTTCATCCCACAGTAGAGTTTTTTTTTTTTTTTTTTTTTTAGGAACACTCGGTATATATATTATAGTATAGGAAAAACGCATGGCACTAGGATATGATGCAATATACTATATCACACAAGCGATTGATCAAAAGAATTTCGAATAACAAGAACCAAAACGTAAATAAACTATTGTGACTTACGCTACCGAGAAGCTCTAGTAACGCGATCATTTTCGACACTCACCTGCAACAGAAATAAAAAAAAAAAAAAAAAAAAAAATAACGACATTAGTCAATACAGATTATTGTCGGATGGAAGATACGTAACATAACTACGTGACTGGCTCAGTTGATTTAATGAAATAAAAATTTTAATAAAAAACAATTCTCAGGCACACACCACGAAATCGCGGTCGATGCATTTCGTTTGAAAAAAAGAAC